AACAAGGGAAGTAAGTAAAATTTGCCTTTTCATGGCCTTAACACGTCATTTCGGTCAAACTTCCATTACTGTAACTCCCGATAAGTTAGACAGATCGAACATTATTGAAAACACTTCATCGCATCTAAGTATTGCGTATTTACAGCTCAAAATCCATGGATTTGGTGTGCGGCGGCGGCGCTCGCAAAATCGCTCTTGTCCCACGCGGTGCAAAAACCAAAACGCGCGATGTCGTCAACGTGTTAAATGCTATATAAGGAGATATACATAGCATTGACTAATTTGCTCTTGTTTTATGGTTCCAAGGAGCATTTTTGGGCAATGGAGACATTCGGAGAATATACGCATTAACTGGGCGGCGTCACTTGACAGCAAAAGAACATTTCGTCGCATTCACTCGCCCATGCAACCATCAAAGTTAAAAACTTACCCATTTCGGTCCTCGCAATCGAGAAGGGTGAGATCTCGCTCAAGGATTCTTTGGAACATTTCCAAATCCATTGTCTCGGCTGCATAGTGAAGGGCTACGCGATCTTCGGGATCTCTCACCGAGACCTCTTGCTGAAGAAAGAGGAAGATACAAAATAAATCCAAAATAAGAAATAGTAAAATACATGAGCAAACAAGAATATGGCAAATTATAGGATGATCGGTAATACTGGCAAGGTCTTGAATAGATCGCATACATACTTCGAATTAGAAGATGGCTCGGTTCGCCTCTCACTCAGACGAACCACCCACTGTTTTTGTCCAATGTTTGTTTTTTGGAAGACTCGAGTCAGAATTTCCCAAAAATCCACAGCAAGAGCTAAAGGGAAGGATCGGGATCAAATTGAAGTGGCATTCTCACCTGAGTTTGAAATCAGGGATGCAAAGTAGATCGCAAGTGGACAGAAAAGGAAAAGAATCTTCAAAAAGGCAGAATGTACGAAACCCTTCGCTCTACGCTAAGAAGAAGTCTAAGAAGCAAACAACGAGCTAAGAGATGATGTGGTTTGCAGAGGGGGAACAGAATTCCGAGTCAAGAAAGCACAACAGGTCCACATTGCGACATAAATAGATAAGATATTGAATGGTGGGCCGGCACGGATCGTCCCGAAGGATCAGAGTCCTAAGCTGCTAGTGTCTTAAGAAGCCGTTTAGAGCAGGGTCAACCGTCCGTTCGAACTGTTCGAACGAAGGGGTCGCATTTTGGTCGGAAGGGGGTCGCAATTTCGAGGACTGCCAGCCACAGGCGCGTGCGTGGCGTATCCGAGGGCAAGAATTGCTTGTGCAGACCGCATTAGATTCGATTATTATGCACAGAGAGACAGTTTTAGGCAAATTACGGTGTTTTCCTTGAGGAATAAAGAACAGTTGAATGCATCCCTATGAAAGGTTTGACTTCTCGGGGCTGAAATTAAAGTTCTTCGGGACCTAATTTTCTGAGGACGATTCTTCCAGACAACGGTAAAACACATAAGAAAGCAGAAATCTCGTAGTCTTCAAAAATGTCTTCGCCCCTCCCCAACAAGTTCTTTGAAGGAAGTTATTATTGCTGAAAGCTCAAAAACTCGCATGTGCTGCTCAAAAACCTATGGGAACAAAATGTTCGAACGTGTGATTTTCTCGGAAAATGGATTTTGAAAAACGGTTTGGTGCTTGTTAGAAAGAGCAAATCCTGTACTTTCACCCCATGATAAAAGTGCATCACAGAAATGAAAATGAAGTGAGTTATGGTTGCTGAAAGCCCAAAAACTCGCTTTTGCACGAAAAATGTTCGAACGGGACAATTTTTTGAAAAAGGGGACAATCACACAAACTTTTGATACTGTTTTGTTAGAGAAATATTTGAAGTTTCTGAAACTTTTTACAGATTTCCAAAATGTCGCATACGAAAGATTTTATGGGCCTTCAAAGTTGAAGGTGCGCCTTCTTAGAATTTTGGGTTTTCCACTTCTAGCAGAAAGTACTTTCCGGAGAGTTAGGCAATCCTTGTAGTTTTCTGGAAGCGCACCTCAGGCACAATCAAAATCTACCTCAACAAGTCAAAAAAATACGTCCCAAGAAAGTTATTCCCCTCTAAAATTTTTTCTTCGCCGCGTCCCGTTCTTCCAGCGCCCGGGTGATACCTGCCGCGCTCCAAGGCTGACGCAGCAATGCAGACGCTGTCTGCGGCGGCACAGACGCTTTCTGGCGCAACGGATTCATGTCTAGCACTCTTATTAACAAAAACAGGGGGTCGCAAAAATCCCGAAAATGTTCGAACGTGACGGTTGACCCTGGTTTAGAGGCGCAAAGTGGGGTGACCCTTGCATTCGTAGACCTAGCACCTCTATCCACAGTGGGGACTTCTTCGTGGAGGCTGAGCCCGACCCTTGCCTTTAATGTGCGTCACGTCCTTTTCAGCGTCTCGCTTCAAGACCAGCACACAGGTATGTGAATAAAGGTTCAACGATTGCATCGGTTTACAAGGTTTATGTTAGTCTGCCAGGTCTTGCGTCCCTTACATGCTTTTATTTTTATTTAAGGCACAGAAGAAAACACATATGTTTAAAATGCCTAATTTCATTGAATATGAAATTGATGCCAGTATATCCAACGAGAACTCTATTCCGCAGCATTAACACTATTCAGAAGAAGAGGTAAGCCGATCTGCTTATAAGAGCAAACCACGGCTGCGCCGAAACTCCTCCTGCAGCGGCTTCTCTCTCGGTGTCCACTGTAACTGCGCATTAAGAAAACAGGCTTGCTAATCGCTTAGGCTTATACACGTACTAGAGCATGTTGATTATGACGGACTCGACTTACTGAGTGCGATTTCTATGTCAGGTTTCTATTCGAACTTGCCGAGACCACGTCGTGCATTCCACACATTCACCAAACGCTCCATAGAAAACATCGCTTTTGTTGGTTGGGTAACAGCAAAGTCTTTATCGAGGTCTATATCGGGACAATGCTTTTCACGAGCACGCTAGCTCTGAAGGGAATCGGCTCCACATCCGGCTAGAATGGACAGGAGACACGAAGTACAACTAAAGACTTTGCTCACCGAAGTATCTTCTAAGTACTCCTCATTTGCTCAAACAATGAGGACTTGAACCCTTGACCACTCGAACATGAGGCAGCACGCCTAAACACTCCGCCATGGAGCGTCACTACCTCGTTGACTGTGCGGCTAACCCATAAACGGAAGTGAATCACTATACGCATGCAAAAACTCCTACTCAATAAGGACTCGAACCCTTGACTATGCGAACATGAGACAACACACCTAACCGTTACGCCATGGAGAACCACTCTCTCGTTGGCTGTGCGGGCTAACCCATAAACGGAAGTGAATCACTATACGCATGCAAAAACTCCTACTCAATAAGGACTCGAACCCTTGACTATGCGAACATGAGACAACACACCTAACCGTTACGCCATGGAGAACCACTCTGTCGTTGGCTGTGCGGCTAACCCATAAACGGAAGTGAATCACTATACGCATGCAAAAACTCCTACTCAATAAGGACTCGAACCCTTGACTATGCGAACATGAGAC